GGACTTATTTCCTGTTCGTGGTAAAATTCTTTCCATCAATAACTCTATTTCAACCTAGGGCTCGTCTGACGGCTTAGGCCATCTCTGTGTAAATGTAAGTAAAAATTGTACACAGGCTTTGGATGAGTCGCACCTATAATGTCAGTTGTCTGAGTTGGATGATGTATGTGCAACCCACGGCAGCGGGTTCTACGATACCGGATTGACCCGAAACAACAAGATCCCAGTTTCGGCTAGCGGCTGCCAACCCTGTATGTACATATTTGTGTTTGTTTATTTTTCTGAGTTGGGAGCAGCATATCCCGGAATGCTTGCTCCGGATTTTATTGGTCCGTGCCGGGATTGAGGAAACCCCCGGACCTTGGTTCTGCTCGGTTTATCAGAAGGTCATCCACCATAGATCTGTTTCGATGTGATGTAATGGATGTAGAGAATGGAATGCACTTTAAGAACTGTTCCGGACTAAGGCGTTTGCGAGACTACAGCGAAAGGATTATGTTGTGACTTGCTGCAGTAACGTAGTCCCCAGCGAGTCCACTTCTTCGTCGTCTTCATCAGAGACGTCGTCGGAGTATGGAACTCCACCGCACTCTACAGAACAGCAACCAGCACCGCAGCACCTAACGCCACATGTTGATGTTCCAACTCCGGATTGTGCATCATTCTTGCAATTCAATTGCAACGGACTCCGAGGCAAAATAGATGAGATAGTGGAATTTATGAGTCAGAGAAATATTAAGATCGCAGCGGTGCAGGAAACCAAGCTGAATGAAAATTGCAGCCTTCAACGTTGTTATGGTTACAACGTACTAAGGAAGGATCGCACCAAATTCCGAACCATCATCAAAGTTGCAGCCGCTCACTATATACCTGCTGGTCGAATACCCGAGATAAGACCAAACTTCCCAGCAGAGGCAGCGGGATTAGCAAACGAGCGTGACGATCTCCGTCCTAGATCCTAGAATCAGTGATTTATCAGTGGAAGTCAACCGGTTGGTACTGATCCGAAGAGGTGCGCGGAGTATTTTAGCCGACAATTTGTCGAGCACCCCGAGAGCGACGTATCAGATCTCTTCCCGCCGAGGAGGAACCACCACAGTTTACGATGGGTGATGTTGCAAATGTCATCCGTAACGCTAAGTCATCCAGTCGGAATCTCAGTGGTAATATTGAAGCAGCTGGATACGCCGGGAGTCGAGTACTTAACATAAGTTCTCAATTTGTCGCTAGCCACCCACATAGTGCCCGAAACCAGGAAAATGGGCCGGGTGGTCCCGCTACTGAAGCCAGACAAGTATGCCAGTAAAGGCGAATCGTACAGGCCGATTTCGCTTTTGTCGCCATTAGCTAAGATTGTTGAGGCTTTATTCCTCCCCAGAATTAGAGGAAGCTATACAGTTGCCAACTACCAGCACGGATTCCGTCCACAACATAGCACCACAACAGCATTACACGCAATTTCCACACATATTAGTAGAGGACTGCATCAGAACAGGCAGTGTGGCAGAACATTGTTGGTAGCCCTTGACTTATCAAAGGCATTTGATACGGTCAATCATGCCATACTGTTTGAGGACGTGCTTCAAACTTGGCCGGAGGGTAGTTCTCTACACGTCCTCAAACAGTATGGCATGATTGCCGTTGGATTATCAACTATATGTGTGGACGCCAGTCGTTCGTGGAATTTCGGAACAAGAATTCCAAAGCCCGTAGAGTGAAACAGAGAGTTCTCCAAGTTGGTGTGATATCTCCGGAACTGTTTAACCTCTACCTTTCCGGAATTCCTCGATCTCCAGACGGCATAGAGATCGTAAAGTATGCGGATGATTGTACGATCATTGCGTCGGGCTCATTGGTCGATGACATTTGTGAAAGGCTGAACCCCTTGCCGCGGAGCTTGCCGTATACTTCCACGCGAGGAATATGAAAATATCCGCCACGAAATCAACGACCACACTATTTACCACATTGTCTGCGGAGATGAGAACACTGCTAAATGTCGAGGGGAATCTAATACCGACCACGAACTACCCCAAGATTCTAGAGGTCACGTTCGACAGCATGTTCAAGTTCTCCGCGCAAGCCACAGCTATCTGCGACAAGATGAATAGCGACAAGGCGCTAGCCGGCAGCACTTGAGGTGCGGACAAGGAAACCGTGTTGACCTCTTATAACGCGATAGGTCGGCCTGTGGTCAGCTATGCGGCTCCAGTGTGGTCTACGAATACTAGTGCTACGCAGTGGAAGCACATCCAGACCTTCCAGGTCTGAGTGGCATTTATACCGATGCAGGGGCAGATGCTATTAGCAATTATAAAATGAATGCCGTCCTCGGAGTCCATCCATTGCAGCTGAAGAACGTCAGCTGCCTAGACAAACCAGGGTAGTTTTGGTGCAATTACGTTCAGAATGGTGTAGTCGTCTCAATTCGTATTGGGCACGAATTGATGAAGATGTGCGTGACGCCTGCCCGGCGTACGATACAGGTCCGCACAATACGCTGCACCTCTTTAATTGCACAGCCAAACCTACCCAACTCACTCCAGAAGATCTCTGGCTACAGCCCATTAAAGTAGCCGAATTTCTAAACATGGAGCTGGAACCAGATTAGCAGAACACAAACACCTGCATGTGCTACTGCTACAGCAACAACAATGTGTTTTCGAAGTCGAGTAGGTCGACTGGGTAAATCAGCACCTTGACTATGAAAAACATGCCTAGAGCCACCTGCATAAAAATACAAAACTAACTTTTTGTTGTCTATATTTTCATTTGTCTATGGTTTGACTGCCTTTGCGTCGCACAGAGGGAGATTAATTGAAAAAACGCGGAGATTAATTGAAAAATAAAATTCGTCTTTTGGAATAAATGTTTTTAAACTATTATAGAACACTAGATTCTACATCAGTACCGAAAATTTTGAAGTTATACCTTGTTTAGTTTTCAAATGCCAAAGTTAAAAAATACTTCCTTTTTTCGCAAGAAGAAGGAAAACAATTATCCTTGGATTTTTGAAGTGCAATAATTTAGTTTTTTTTCTCATCAAAAGCGATCATTTTAAAATTGAAACATCGAATACAGGTTGTTATCTGTGTTTTTGAGCAAAAAAGTTTTAAAAATAATGATGTCAAAATATTTTAAAAATTAATTCAAAAGATTACCATATTTTCGCCATATCTGAAAAGTATATGGAGTTTATTTTAAATAATATCGAGAAGGTCTTAAAATTTTAATTTTGTATTTTAGTATAGAATGTCATCTTTCATAATCAGCAAAAAACTCGTGCCGTTTTTGGTTAATTTAAAAAATGGTGAAAATAGTCAACTGATTCTGCGGTGAATGTACTTTGATCTAGTTCTCTGTTTTATTTGTTTTTTTATTTTGTGCTCTTTATTAAATAAGATTCTCTTGCGTTTTTATCCTGTTATTATTTGGAATTCCCAACTATGTATAAAAATATTCCAGTCTCTTTAAAAAGTCAGTGGTGAGGTTACTTGCCTCACCCTCAATTTTGACTGATGATCCAATTTAAGACAATGAGAGAGATTTAGGGGAAAATGATTTTTCTATTTCAGATCGGAATGCTTAATTGTCAGCCAATTTTGTACATATATTTTTTTATAATTATTCTTTTCTCATAAAAATATGTAGTCTTTTTGTCTTCAGATTTTAGAAGGTTTTACAAAGGATAAATTATTTATCTGGCTTTACTCAAATTTTGGTTTTTTAGGCAATTTTTGTAATTTTTCCTTGCATCCAAACAAAATACCAAATAATGAGTTTTTAAAAAACTCTGTCTGAAACCCTCAAAATACCTAATATTAGGAAATGGCATTATATGTTTTGCAGGGAGAAATTTCCAAAATACCTAAAATTTGGAAGTGCCGTTATATATGGTCAATATCTAAAATTTGGAAGCGTCGTTATATATGGTCAATACTAATAGTGGATTTATCTTCACAAAATTAAGCAGGGAGTGATTTTGTCCGCTCCGAACTCAAAATGTCAAGATACTCATGATTGGGTTTGAAATTGTGGCCGAAACCTTCAAGATACTAAAAATCAGGAAGTAACGCTATATGGGGGCCTCACCGAAACGTGGACCGTTATGTCCCATTTTTAATGCCAAACATATTAGAAGTAATATGAATGTCTGAGCAAAATTTCAGAGCGATAGAATACTTCTCTGAATTAATCTCCGTTTTTGGGCATCTCACCCCACTGTGCGTCGTATATCACTTTAATAACTTAATTTCTCAGCTCTGTTGAGTGTTTTTCTGCAAATATTTTTACCAATTACTTCTGCAAATTCTTATTCAAAATGATGAAATTCCTTGTAGATTTCTGGCAATTCAGGGTTTATTTAAAATAAAATCCAAAGCAAGTAATGCAACATTTGTCGGCTCTCGCTCAATGCTCGACGACGACTAATTCATCAACTCTTTTTGATACTTGACAATTTGACCTATTTCCGTTAGAAAATGTGGCATAAATCATCAAAACACTGAATACATTGAGGTACCCTGACATGGGGACTATAGAAAGACGTGGAGCTATATGGACAATGTTCTGCCACAGATGGTAGAATCTATAACGAACTCTGAATACAAAATATGAAACAATTCCATTAGAAACGTGGCTTAAATCGAAAAAATAGGTAGGTACCGTTATATGGGGTCTATACGAAAAAAGTGGGCCTGCCTTTCCTGTATTTAGTACTTGATATTGTAAACCAACAATAAGTATTTGTACTAAAAATAATCCACAACTCCTTCTATTTTTGGCCACCGTTAATATGAAGTCGCGACATAGTGCATCGTATGTTTGGCAGCTCGCTGCATTTTTTAATTTTCAGGTTAGGAATTATTATTTTCCATTTATATTTTATCACAACAGACTTAATGTTTTCTATTGTAAATGTAATATTTTCTATTGTATAAAAGATGTTAAGAGTATATATTTTCTATTGAATTAAAAACGCATTAAATAAAAAACAACCATTATTACTTTGAAAATCATTTATTTTCAATTATACCTTTTTATTAGACTATATTTGTATGAGAATAAATTAAATAAAATGTTGCGTCTGAGCGAAACAAATGCAGTCATAATGGGAAGTTATGTTTAAATATTTCGAAGTCATTCGAAATCACAATACAATACAGAAAGAACATAAATGGACATCTTATAACTTTATTGCACTGGAGCAAAATTATAAAAGAAATATAATTTGTAATTTGGGGTTTGATAAAAATTGTAGAAAATAGAAAAACGAATAATGTACGAAGAGATAATCATAATATTTTACCATACTTATTTTTTACATATAGTTTAAAGACAATTTACCTTCTACTCTCTACATTTCTTCAATGAGAAATCGCTGAAGGCCTGGACAAAAACTGTTTTAAATCTCAAGAGATTCAGCGACATAGAGTATAATACAACTTTTGTAATTTACGCTTCGACTTACATTGGTGATTGTGGTGGTGGTGATGATGATGATGGTGATTGTGATGATTACTATTGTTAAAATTGGTATTGTGTGAAAAAGTTGTGGAAACGTTTGTTACGTTATTTGTGGTTGCAGATTGTGTTTGATTGGAGTGTTGCGACTGAGAGTTATTCAGGAGCATATTGTAATTGGATCGAAATCGTTGCGACGATGATTGGTAAGATTGATAGTTAAATAAATGATTTGTATGATTTATATTTACAATTGAATTAGTCGCTAATGATGAGGAAGCCGAAAGAGTGGCTGAGCCAGCAGCACCTGCGGCGGCAACTGTGCTACTGTTTATGACGAGAGCGGCAGCAGCTGCGGCCAAACCACTTGTGGATGAGGTTGCAGCAGCCACAGCTGCTGATGCTATGCAATGCAATATGTGATTCTGTTGCTGCTGAGCGTGCTGATGATGTTGCATCTTTGACTGTTTGTGTTTATGTGACAGCTTGCTATGATTGTTGTGGAAATTGTGATGATGAAAGTGATTAGACCGCCTTCGGTGGTGGTGGTGATGATGATGGTGGCGATGTCACTTTTCTTCATTGGCCTGTATTTGAAGTTGAAGAGGATGCTGTTGCTCATTGTTTTGTACATTTGGTTGTGTTGCCACCTGAACCTGCTGTTGCATGGTCCCGGACTGTATTTGTTGATTTTGATTGTGAATGTGTTGGCAAAACGCTTGTAAAACTTCGAAATGGGTCATCAAATTGGCTGTTTGGCTATCATAGTGCAAATGTCGCGTTATCTGTGCACCTAAACGCCTGAGAAGATCCGTAAATATTTTTTCTTCTTTCCGAATCCAAGGTCGGCGGTCATCCTGTACTTGGTATGGAGTTAAATGTACGTGTATGTTTATAGCTGTAATGATTAGGTGCGACATTAGGTTACAAAATGTTTTCAATTGCATTTGTGCTATAAATACTCACCCATTCTAGTTAAAGTCTCTAGTAAGCTTCGGGATGTTATCCATGTATTCTTTTGACCGCCATGTCCACCATCCAACCAATACATATCTTTGATACGTGAAAGCAAACGTCCCATTGTACTATCGTCCGGAGTAAGGGTTTTTAAATAATGGAATTCATAAATGAACTGCGAATTCAAAAAATATGTTTTATTTTATATAGTATTTGCACCATACCATGATTTTAGTTATTGTTTATTATGCATGTATACTAGGTTTTAAATTTTAAGCTAAATTACATTTCCTTCGGTATAAAAACTTTCTCTTTCTTAAATTTCCATAAATTTTTGGACTGAGTTGAGTGTAGGCTTACAATTTTTATCAGGTAATACTCAATACCAGTTGAACTATCGGTCATTGTATAAAATATTGAAAGTATACTATCAACTTTTATTAATGTTTTATTTACATTCAAGAAATCGCACAACCAATAAGAAAAAAATATTGATTTTGAAAATAAAAACCTTTTAATCCGATGAATGGAGATTATATTTTAATGACCCTTTTTAAAAGAATCACATTCGTGTTCGTGTGAGATGAATAGTATAAAGTCTTCAATCCATATTACAAACTTTGGTTCATTCAAAAAATGTATTTCAAATTTAATTCATTTATAAATGTCTTTTTAGCAAGCCAAAACTAAAAGTTGGACTGATGATGATGTTTTTCAAAGTTTTGCAGAAGCATCAGGATGTTGAGGTAAGTTGATTGCTTCAAAAAGCCATACGCATTGATGCATATACTTTTACGTTGAAAAGTATATTAATATGCAGGGATTAAAACGTATTGGAACCTCATTCGCTTTAAAGCAAAAAAGCTTAATATAATCTACATCAAAGCAGAGAATTGAAGGAAATCTGCTAGGGATGTTTTCTTGAAAAATCAGCTGATTTGATTGCTAAAAATTATCAAATAAGTCACTTTCTCTTTGGAACAACCCTAGAACAGCTAGAAGATATGAAAGTGCTGTATATTTAAAAATTAATTTCATAAATATTACGCAACAGACATGTGGCACAGTTATTGTAAAAATTAAAAATAAATAAGCCTGACGTTTTCGATTTGATTATGGAGCAATTCTTCATTTTTTTTATATAAAAACACTAAAAATCTGATCATCGGTAAAGGTAAAAAAATCATTATTATAGTACGAGCCATGGTAAAACAATAAGGGTAAGCTCAATTGCTAAATTTAATTTTTTTTCTGGTGAAAACAACCTTGTCATTTTTTAAATAAAATCTTTTTTTCGTATCTAAAATATTTTCGTATGGCGAGTGACAGATTTTCAAAACTAACAGGGTGAGATGAAAATACTGCAACCAACTTCAGACTGCTGTCATTACTAAGCAACTCGTTCGACAGATGTTAAAATTATTCCAGTGACAGCTCATTATATTGTTTACAAGCGTATAAAAGTTTTTGCTGAGAAATTTCCACAAAAAAGTTATTCGAGATGGAATTCCAGCGTGATAGTGTGATTTCTCTATATTTGGTTGGAAAACCATAAGTGGTTATCGTTAGAGCACTCCAGCATTTAAATGTGAATAAATCTTTTGTGTCTCGTGCCATCGCTCGTTACTGTAATACTGGTAGCGTAGCCCAACGTCAAGGAATTGGACGGAAGAAAACATCAACATCAGCAGAAATGGAATGTGTCGAACTGCCGAATTTGGGCAGTGTTTTCTCCGATGAGAAAACATTCGTTGTCCAGCAGTTTGTAAACAAACAAAATGATCGTGTTTACTTGCCAAAGAGTACAGAAAATATGCACCGTCGGTTGGCCACCAGAACTCAAGCGCCGGCCCTGGTGATGGTGTGGGCCACCATAACAGCCGATGGTCGCTCTCCGCTCGTATTAATCGACCGTGACATCAGAATAAATGCCGAATATTATCGCGAAAATATTCTGCATGGTGTATTAAAGCCTTGGGTTTGCGTGCTCAGACCTTGGACATTCCGACAGGACTCAGCACCATCGCACTCCAAGAATGGTTACAAAATGAAGTTCCTCGCTTCATTTCCAGCGCACAATGGCCACCAAAATCTCCGGATACCAATCCGTTGGACTATTGTGTCTGTAGTATTTTGGAAAGCAAGGTTGGCACAAAAAAATACCAAAGTGTCGAAAACCTCCAGCAAGCGCTTCGCCGGGTATGGGCTAAAATACCACAGAGCAAAATTCGGCCAGCGTGTGACGGTTTCATTGGCCGTTTGAAGGCCATAATTCGTGCCAAAGGTGACCATCTCGAACAAATCTAAACCTATTCTAAAATTTGATGCTTTTCCCGTGTTTTTGCTCTCATTCAATAAAATTTAAAAAAATGTAAAAATTATGGCATTTGACTTTGTTGCAGTTTTTTTATCTCACCCTGTATAATATTTGAGGCAGATTTGCTGACCATACGCCGATATTACCGAATTAACATTTGCATTATCTATATTTTCACATCATTCTACAATTTTTTTATGTGCATTTGTGTGGCGAAATCAAATTACAACAATTTGGCATATTATGTTTCCACCAACTATCCTAATATAGGGTTACCTTAAACGGTATGTATGTATAAAGATATTACTACGTCTAGAATACCGTTCAACAGTCTAAGAGTACTATTCAACAAGGTTCTCGGATCGACTACTAACTAACAAGCTAGTAAATGTTATTGTTAAAGATAAAAATGCGATAAATCCTAAAATAGGTTAGGAAAAAAATATAATAAAATAATACTTATAAAGGTTACGATTTTTACACCGTTTATAAGGACTCACTTGATTGAGTACGACACAGCCTTTGCTGAAGCCGATCAAAATTAATTTTGACTTGTCTAGATTCAGGTTTTCACGCCACCACAAGGGATTGTTATGCTGTTGCGAAGACGACAATTGGGTCGGAGTTACTTGTTGTCGATGTTGTGACAAACAATCATTGCTGTTATTCAAGTTGTTGTAGTGAGGGGTTTTTTCATGATTTTGCTCAGATTGGGGGATGTTCTGTTGAGTTGGATTTAATGTAGACGCGGACGACGAAGGGTCACAAGGATTGTTAATTGATGTTGGAGTCGCCTCATTCGTGCCATTATCTGAACATTTGATAGTTCCACTAGTAGATGGGGAATTTACATCAGAGGAATTTGGAAATATGACGGCTCCATCGGCGTCAACAGTTACATTTTCTTGAACCTTCAAAAAAATATTTTATTACAATGTTCGTCTTCAAAAATTTTAAACGACATAAATACCTGTAAAATGTCTATGTCCATCTCTTGACTGCTATCACTAGCATTTGAAGAAGACGAAGACGAATCTGAAGACGCACTTGATAATGTAGATGAAACTAATGCAGCAGCGGCAGCAGCAGCTGCAACGGCGGCTGCTGCCTGTGCAGCTTGGTCTAGTATTTCATTTTCTGGTATTGATATCAGACGTTGAGATAAGTTTTGTAATAACCTATGGATGTTATATTGCATTATTAAAAAGAACGAATTCTTGTGAAATGATTATCAAACTTACTTTTCCAAATGTTGCAGCGCATGATTCATTGGAGTGTGATCCGGCACACCAGCATTATTTCCTCGCACAAAGTTATCAAAACAGCTGAATGTCTTAAATTCCATTCTTAAAATATACGAAAATAGGAAAAAATGTAACAAATATATCTTATGTATTGATTTGCATACATTATACATTTTTGTATTTATATTTTATCATTTGAAGCTTACAAGGCAGGACCCAAGCGCACATAAACATTATAAGTGAACGTATATATTTACCTCACAGGTCTCACTACTATAATGTGCGAACGTGGAAATGCTTCACGCAATAGAATGGCTGAATTTTCTAAATTGTATTTCATGTAACCCCGACTGTCGCGATTGGTTTCCATACTTTCTGGGAAATCCTAAAATGAAATGCAATTATTATATTATCTCTCGTTATATTGTTATGAGAAACAACTTCAAATACTTAGGTTAACTTTTGTATTGGCATATAACTTTACCTACCTGTACATCCCCACCAAAGTAGACAACTGCTGTAGAATCGTCCACATTTTGATTAGTTTGCCTTATTATTGGTGGACAATAAACTATATCGTTGGTTCTATTTTGGAACCCAGCAACAGAAAATATTCGAAATGGGCCAGCTGATGTGCTTGGTGTGCATAAACGATCCGCACTGCCACCAAGCATTACCTCAGAGTTCGTAACACGTTTTTGTAATTGATAAAAGTGTTCAATGGTTACCTAAAAAAAGATTGTCAAAAATATATCGTACATTTCATTTATATATTCAATTAGAAATCAGTTGCAATATTAAACATCTAATGCCTATTTGTTCGTTCAATAGTCTTCAACGTTATTCGTGCGTTAGGCTCAGCAGATTGACGGAAAAAATATTTTAAAAATGTGAAACAATGTCTGCAAAAATGTACAGAATGCGTCAAAACAAGAAAAAGGGGCTTTGAGTTCGGTCGGGTCGAACTTTTTATACTCCACCACTATGTTTATCAAAGTAAAATTAAATAATAAAAAGAGTTCACTATCTTAACATAGAATATCAAACTGTTTTGATTAAAATAAAAATATAACCCAATAGCGAAACCCATATTATCATCTAATTTCGTTGGAAATTGTGACAGAAATCTTCAAAATATTGGTATATTAAATGTAAGATGCTGCGTAATGATTTTTAGGATCTTTTCAGTCATAATTATTAACCATATTTTTGATAAATTATGGTCAAAGTTGTGATTTACCTTTTAAAATGTACCACAAATGACCACCACCAGATTTCATATATCGATGTCCGTAAATAAATATAGGCGCACAAATCACTTAATTTTTAATATACCTTGCTTACTGTTTATTTATTTAATTTATAAGTACGTGGGAGTAGTAGTTTATGAACTACTAAAGCATATAACTTTAATAGTAATCTTCTCCATAATCATCGTCGTCATAAACATCCTGACGACGACCACCACAACAGCCTACAAAACGGCTACGTGTATCATCGAGGCAAAGTTTTGTATCTTCCTTTAATTCTTTCAGTTTTACACGGACTTCCTCTCTCATGAGATTGTAACACATAGCCACTAGGCCCATTCCAATTAACATGTAAATAAAATTAATAGCTAATTTGGAGTGCTGTTCGGCAATAGACCTTTGCAGTTTTGTTACTGCATTGGGGTCAATCGTGGGGTCTTCTTGAACCTTTTTACTTGTTTCCGCTATGAGGGATCCTGTAACCAATGAAGCCCCTGGAACAAAATCACCAAATCCAATTTTACATAGCGACGTCATGCAGAAATAGAAGGAATTGAGGAACGACCATTTCTCCCAATTGGCAAACATAATTGTGCCAGTTAGAATGTAGAATATAATCACCCAAAGGCATGCTGTTGATGGCACTATGATTTTCTTTCGATGTAAACTTCTCAAACTGCCATTTTCCAAGGCCTCTAAACGATGATCCACAATGGAACGTTCGTGGGTACACTCATGTAAACTTCGATATAGAAACTGAAATGATCTAGCCAAAACCTTGCCCATATTTAGAAAATACAAAATGTACAATGGAATTCCAAACGTTGCATAAATGACGGTAAAACCTTTACCCCAAGGCGTACGTGGCACCATATTGCCATAGCCTATCATTGTTATAACAGACAGACAGAACATCAGAGCGGCTGGAAATGACCAAATATCAGCCGGCTTTCTATAATCATAGCCTTGCTTAATTATTGTGGCAATTTGCCTCTGATAATTTTGTAGAATAATGTCGGTGCTGTTTTGCCATGTTGGTTTGTCAAGGGTGTTATAGGTTTCGGTAATGTTCCACAATTCTTCGGCACATGTACTACGCAATCCAGAAACCTCTGCCTCTTTAGTGTCTACAGATTCACCTTCTATTTTCCTAAAGGAAAATGCTCCGCATATAGCATATATTACAATAAGAGCACCAACACCCACTTGGGTGCACATGAATGTAACAAAATTTCTGCAGCATTTCTTAAATCGTTTTCGGGGTCGATTGCTTGGCGATGAAGATGTATTTGAGGAATCTGGCTGACCATTTCTTTGACTTTTTGACATGGTTCCCACGATAGCTTGTCAAATTGGAAATATTTGACTTCTCAAAAGATATTTCCGTATATTTTGTATGTTTTTGTCTTGTTAAATACTTCTCCCTCCGTTTTAACTCAATATCTTTTTATTCAATTACAGATATCTAATTCTTCATTCCATTGCGTGTTTCTATAAATAATACTTATATTTGGACAATGAAGTGGAGATCTTTTGTATGAACAACAAGATACTGTACAAACGTTAAATGTCTACATGAGTGTGTTCGCTCTTTTGCGTTAGGGACTCTTTTTATTATATTACACGCGGATGTTGCGAACGAACTCACGTTCCGAATATTACTGACTGAAAACTCAAAAAATTATATCCATTCGGGTCATTGTAGATTTATGAGAGAGAGAGAGTAAATGGATGCAAATTTACAAAAATGAAAGAGCAAAATCTGTATTTAATAAAGATCAGAGAGAGTTTCTTCTTTTCACTAACAGTGCACAAGCATTGTTGAATATACAAATTGTTTGTTTTGAAATTAAATTGTTGACTTTATGGATGAAAATGTTACGTTTTCAATATTTTAAGATTGTCCACAAACATATATATCAAAATTTACGGCAAGCAAGGTGATCGTTGAAAGAGTTTAGAAGTGTTGCTGCAGGCCTTGACCAAGTAGAACTAGACTCGTTTCGGATTTGACTCCGGTGGGAACAAAGAATTTATGTGTACTAGACTTGTTCTAGATATGGATCCTACAGCTGTTGGAAGAAATTGGTGATGTTCCTTAATAACTTCTTTTGGTACTTGGCTCGTAACAAGGTATATATTCTTTAACTTTGAAATTGTATACTAATATATATCACATAGAAGATTTAGGGATTTGAAACTAATAAATGGCTAAAATAGGTATAATACCCATCGATCTACGCATGTTACTTAAATTTCATTTAAGAGTAAAAATTAAATGAAACAAATACCAAGCCCTTAATGTTTATATTTGTTTGCAACATTCTCAGACACTTCATTTTATTTGGTCGCTTCCAGCTGCATTTCACCAAAAATCTATGCACTTGGGTCATAGCATTATATTACATACAACTTATTTTATATAATCACAACAATAAAACAGAAATACGTCTGTTTGTTGATCTTCTGCAATTTGTAACAAACATTGACATGACACTGTTTTCATTTTATGTACCATTTGGCTTTTAAGTGCCAATTGTTGCACGTGGACTGCTATTTGGCTTACCATCATAATTAAACGTCGTAATTTATTTGTTTGCCACAAAACGCTACCCATGTAATAAAAGTTCTAATGCATCGACCGCATAGAACAAATCACTTTTTTTAATTCTAGAGTAATAATAACCTTAACAAACGTAAACAAATACTAATTGATATGTAGTTTTGACATATTGCCACATAACAGAGTCGACCACATTTCAGCAACGCCGCACCATTGTCATTAAGGAAAACAAGAACGTTGCGGTATAACTCCGAAAATGTGACGAAGAAAATTTCATAAAAAAGTGAAATTGAGTGTAAGCAGATTTATAAGGAATACATCACATTTTTCGTCTTTGACCCAAAAAACATGAAAATCTACATATATGAAACTGCATAAGAATTAGCGAAAAGCAACAAATATTAACTAATTATACTCAAATTAGATAAATTCTACTTGCTAATAGTTCGTTTACATAAACTATATTACTAATTTAATTTAACATATTACCCATATTGGTGTTATATATTTAATATATATATATTTTTTTAATAAAATAAATATTAAGAAGCAAAGGAAATGACGATAAGCAGAAAATGATCAGAAACATGGTACAATAAAAGTGGCATTGGAACTTTTATTATGGTAGTTTTGTTAAGTCCAAAAGATGTGTTTTGGTCGAAATAATTTTGAAAATTGTAAACTTCTGTTATTTATTATGTTTATGAGAAGCTACTCAACAAATAAAAAAGAGAAACTTCGATGTAAAAATCACCTGTTTTCCTGCAAGTACTTTGTTAAATTTTTGCAATACTATCAATAAAAAGGAAAAAAATATATAAAAAATTTCACGTCATCATAAAAAAGTTATTGTTTTTCTGTAAAATATACATTTTAAGAATGATCCGCAAAAAAAAGTATCGAAATGTAAGAGTGTGGTAAAAGTTAACCCATGGTGAAATTAAGAAGGTCAAGTCATTTCAAATGACTGACAAATAAGCATTCCCATCTCTGCATTTTCTGCAATTTACCTTGTCATATTTCTTCAAAAATAAATAGATTTTTATGTTTTCTTATACGACGTTATTCGGAGGTTTCATTCAACGTCATTCGGAGCGTTTTCAGCAATTTTTACAAATTTAAATAATTTTTCATTCAACATTTTTAATTTCAAAATTGGTTTGACAGTTCATTTTCCCAGCAGCTGAGTCGATGCGCCTACCTAGATTCTTCTACCATGATTGCATACAAAATCTTTACCCGGGTTAACACTGATAATTGACCAACCAATCAACTGTACGTTATCGTGAACCAATATAGAAAATACTACTTCGTGTGAGCGGTGCGTTAATCGTTTGCAATTGTTTATGTACGCTAATTTAAATACATATTTTTTAATTTGTGGTGAAGAAAATTGTACACACACGCAACAATCTTGGTAGGAACCTCGGCAGATTTTTTAACATTCAACGAATTTTTATGTAAAATTTGTCTTGAAGTTAACATACATATATATTGTAAGAATAATCACCAACATATATATCGAAATTTAACATATATCTAATATATATTTGCAGATAACGCATTTGTAATCCTAGTGGTTTTAAATTATCAATTCCATTGCATGTATGTAAAACAACTTCTCATAAAGAATTCAATCCGGCAATGAGCTCTACTGTAAACATGTTATTTAACTAATGTCATGTTTACGTTTGAACTTTTAGCAGGTTAAAGCTACTTAAAGAGGATCGATTTGAAGTATTGGTAATGGTTATGACAATTTTAATCCAAATTCTGTGTGCTAACCCATTTATATGTAAACGTACTGCAATGTTCAAAATTGTTAAAAGTGATTTACCATGATGATGATGCTTACTTCAAATTGAAAATATGTTAAAACTTGTATCAGACGATAAGGGTTTTACATATGTGTTGTCACCTTTATTATCCATGAGTATTTCCCTGTGTATGACTCATAATTCTTACAATCACACACTTGCAAATGTTTATTTATTTCCTTTTGTGATTATATTGAATATTCCAAAAAATATAATATTTAACGATGATTTCATGGTAAAATAAATAAAGGTAAGGTCGTTTCTAATAAGCATTCCCATCTTTTCATTTTCTGTAATTTAGATTTCATTGCATGGAAAGTAGGTTTATAAATGTACATTTTGACAATGAGATGTCTTTTTTACCGCAAATTTAATATTATATATTTTTACATGACAAATAAACAACACTTGATTAAAATATATTTTTTACGACGGAAAAAGGGCTAGCTGTGATCGAAAAAGTGCGTATGTACTTCACAACTAGAATTTCGCCAATGTATCACACGATGTGTGCAACTTCTACATATGGAAAATTTGACACTACATACGTCTTGTGAATTAAAATTTAATAAAAAAAATCCCATCACAATAGATAGATACGTCATTTATTTGACGTATAATCAAATAAATTGACTATCCGTTAAAGCGAAATCCATGGATTTCAATTGTTTATAAGTAAAATGAAAATCATTGGAATTGCGACATGTATGTAATGGAACCGAACGCTCAAATCCGCTGAATTTAATAAGTGCAAACTTTCATTATTGAACTCACATTTTTAACGACAAGCATAGTTAAGAAATGTATCGAAAAGAAAATATATCGAAATTTTAGTCAGAATAGACCAAAAACAATATTTTTGGAGTTTTGGCTACAAACTCATACGATGTTAACAGTTTCAGGCTTCTTCTGTGAACTTCACTGATAAAAACATGGTAGTGAAAGCGGTAACTTAGCATTCACTTCCTCGCTGTGGCTTTGTTCTCTGTACCCGACTGATACAAAAGAAATAATTGAATATTCTACGACAGTGGCGTCCCTGGCATCTTGCCGTCGCATCAAACCATTGTTACTCATATGACAGAGCTATGTGCGAGTGTACCAATCGATGTGGATGCACTTATGTATGTATGTCTTCTTTATGGTGCATTTGAGGCAAGCTAAGACACAAGAATCCATATTCGTACACAAACATCACACTTCGTATATTGTTGTTGCTACAGTTGTTTATGTTATACTTACAAATTTTTGTCGATAATGTCTCAGATACAAAAACGAGCAGAGTGCACAGTATTTACGCGCTAAAAAGTATGTAGCGATGAAGTAATGCTGCACTTGGCAAAAAATAATGTTTTATTTACTTTTTTTAGCGTCTACATAAAAAACCGTAGAAAGCGTTAAAGTGACGAACTTGCCAATTCAATCGACGCTATTTATATTAGGCACAAATCACTTATATATGGGAGAAGGATCTTCAAAATACCAAGTCATTCATCTTTCTGCTTACTAGTCCACTTAAATATTTGGATTATTTTAAATTATTTACAAAATTCTATTCGATTTTTATGTTTTTGCGTATTTTTAGCGAGCACCACTATCTCTTCCATTCCAGAGAACCCAGTCGCACTACAAATTAAAGCAACGGCGCCATAAAAAGTCTATGCTGAAAATTGTTCCCGAAGCCAGGTAGATTTTTGTTAAACGGCGCTCTTGTATTTTTCAAATTCGTAACGGTGTTATTGACGCAGTTGCCACAAAATTAAATAGAATAATATAAGAGAACAATCAAATTTTATCATTTTTCTATTGATGAAAACTTTTATAAGGAAAAAAAGGCATGGTAGAACCATAGACAAATAAAGATATAGACAACGAAAAGTTAGTTTTGTCTTTTTATCCAGGTGGCTCTCATCATGTTTTGCATAGTCAACATGCTGATTTACGCGTTCAACCCACTCGACTTCGAAAACACATTTTATCGTTTTTCAAGAATTTTACTTGATTATTCCGGAATTTTTTGATGTCATCACGTAATTTTCACATTTATTTTATTTTGGAACAATGTCCAACTGACAAATATCCTACAATTTTTGTTATTTTTAACGTTTTAGAAATCAAACCCCTGAAACCATATAGACGACATCTGCTGATTCGATTTTTTCGAAGATAAACGGTGAGAGCATTTCGTTGTCTATATTTTCATTTGTCTATGGTAGAACTAAGAAGGGAAAGTCATGTAATCATATGTTCACAATTTTTTCAAATTTATACATTTGACAACATCTCATTGTCAAAATCTATATTCATAAATCCATTGCATACACACAAAATCGGAGATTGGAACTGTTTTTTATGCCTTAAAATTTGACAATGTAAATTACAGAAAATGCAAAGCTGGGAATGCTAATTTAAAATGAGGCTACCTTTACTTCATTGTACCATGAAAAAGGCACATTCCTCTCCTACTACTTGATTAGTTCGGTTGTAAGTCCCGGGCTATGTTTTTAGGTGAACACTTACGTGATAGTTTCATGAAAATTAATTTTGAGAAATTATGGGTGTGAGGCTTAAGGTAAAAGTACATAAAGGTGTAAGTACATAAGAAGCTCGAAGTCATGGCTAGGCATATTTTGTGACATTTCATAAAGGGTTTACAAAGCCACAGTAAAATCCTGTCATCGTTTTCCATTATAATTTGACATTAATATGCATTGCAATGACTTCAAGCTTTTTATGTACCTTAAAGGTGAAAGTACATAAAAAGCTTGAAATCGTGGGTAGGAATATTTTGTGACATTTCATAAAGGGATTACAGAGCCGCAATGAAATCCTGCCGTCGTTTTCCATTATAATTTGACATTAAAAAGCCTAGCCATGACTTTTTATGTACTTGCACCTTAAAAGCTTTTTTGACTGGCTTAAGTCATCGACTGGCTTCTTCGTAGAGAACAAAAAGGTGTTTTAGGTTGACTTAGGCCACTTTATTCTTTTCCGAAGAAGCCAGCAGATGAGTTAAGCCAGTCAGAAAAGTGTTTTGTGTATACCCACCTTTAGGACGCGAGGCGTCAGGGACTTTTTTCGGTTGCCTTTTGAGGTAATTGAAAAAAGGAATTGAAGTTGACCTTTGTGATGACAGCCTTTTTTATTGTCTGTTCAATACCAGAATAAAAGCGAGCAACCAAACAATAAATCCTGATAATGTGGCTTAATCCGGATAAAATTTTGTATCCAAATGCGATATAAGAATATTCTCATAGACAGCTCTTTCTATTTTCCTTTAAAATACAAATCACTTCCGTACACGAAAAAATTAGTATTGTATCTTTTCATGCGGTTTTATTTTTAAATTTGAACGTTATGTTATACAAATAATTATAGCATGATGCAATCGTGGTGGAGTAAAGAATTTAAAGTCACGCAAACATATGTTTACAATTTTTTCAAAATTTTTCATTTGACAACATCTCATTTTGAAAACATATATTTATAAATCTATTGTAAATACACAAATCAGAGATGGAGGCCTATTTTTTATGCAGTGAGATTTGTCAAGGCAAATCACAGAATGAAAATTAAAAATTTAACAGATTTAATAAATGTAAATACTCTTTCATTCAAAAAAATGTCCAAAGTTTTAAAAACGTTTTGACAGTTTATTGTCGATGCATTTATATGTATTACTTTGCAATGCTTCAAATTTTATAATAACAAATGCAACAAGTTGTTTTGTTTATTTGGTACTTTTCTAACAATATTTGTCATGAAAACGGAATGGGATGCTACGGAGTTTTTGAAAATATTGAGTTGCTGATATGATTACAATTGTACATAATGACAATAAAAACGTAATTGTTTCCGATGTCATTTTAATTCAAAAAAAAGCAAAAAAAAACTTTTAAAACGATTTGTACAAACGGCCGTACAGTGTTTGACATGCGTAATAGCAAATCCATGGTAGAAGAATATAGGTAGATGCGTCGACACAGCTGCTTGGACAATGAACTGTCAAACCAATTTGAGAATTGAAAATGTTGAATGAAAAATTATTTAAATTTGTAAAAATTGTTGAAAAACACGGAATGACGTAGTATATGAAAGTATATGAAAATCTACTTATATTTGAAAAAACATTTAATTTTTTTTTGACATATCAATGCTCCCAAGCGTTGATGCATCTACCTGTATTCTTCTGCCATGAGCAAATCCATAAATAAAGTTTCAGCAACACCAGGGAGAGCAGCGGCATGTTTTACATACATAGTGCACCTGACTAATAACAGATGGCACTATTCAAAGTGTTTAAAAAGACATAATAGAGTCGTCTATTAACTTCTGTCGACGTTTGACTTATTAACGATAGTCGAAACTTTCCTTAAAAAAACAATAACAACTACCTATAAATAAACCATGGTAGAATCTAGATGGTAAAGTCATTTCAAATAAGCATTCCCATCTTTGTCACAACAAAAACAAGATTTGTTTATTTTTATTTATATACCATTCAAATAATCAATCAATTTTTTGAAATGAAATGTTTGTGGCAGAATGGTCAAGGGTATTACATAGTCGGCTCTATACATTTTTTCCATTTCCCAAAATGTGTCCCAGAAATTGCGAATTTTTGGCGTAGGTCGGTGTTTTTATCCTGATAAAAACAACACACATCTTTTTCAGGGAGGACCCCGTACTTACTGTGGCATGGGGTCCAGAGGATTCCCAAATTGCACTTTTTTCATTATTTCTAAACATTGAATAAAATTCAATGACAGAAGGGCAGCTACTTAAACTATTATTGTGTTATGGGAAATTTCAAGTTTCATTTGACTACTTCGCCTACTTAAAAACATTATCAAATTTAAGAAAACAATAACACATATCGTGTGCAAAGATTGAAATACATTGGTTAACTGCTTCAAAAGTTTAACAAGGTAAATTACAGAAAATGTAGAGATGGTAAGCTTATTTGAGGTTATTCCAGTGCCTCCAATTGTCTTTAAATTTTTTAGATCCCAATATTTCTACTAACGAAAGGTTGGATATGAAGAACGGATAGAAGGACCACTCCTGCTCGTACCTTCCCCACGGGTTAAAATTTTGAATAACAATGCCGTCCATAAAGGCGAATTGAATGGCACACCCTAAAATTTCCATCTATAGTGTGGAAATAGGATGCATCGGTCCTTCTGGTTCCTCCCCCACAAAGCCTCAACATTTTGAATAATCATATTAAATGTGGCGAGAGAGAGTTGTCTTCAAATTTCGCACATCCCAATATTTCTACCAACACGAGATCTGGTACATAGACAAATGAAAATATAGACAACGAAATGCTCTCACCGTTTATCTTCGAAAAAAACTCGGATCAGCAGGTGACGTCTATATCGTTTCAGGGGTTTGAGTGGGAAAATTGAAGTCACTCAATTCTAAAACGTTAAAAATAACATAAACTGTAGGATATTTATCAGTTCAAAATTGTTCCATAATAAGAGATAAGTGAAAACTATGTAGTGACATCGAAAACTATGGGAGTATTCCAGTGAAATTCTTGAAAAACGATAAAATGTGTTTTCGAAGTCGAGTGGGTTGAACGCTGGATGAGAGCCACCTGGATAAAAATACAAAACTAACTTTTCGTTGTCTATATCTTCATTTGTCTATGTCTGGTACTCATAAACCTCACAAAATGCAAAATAATCGTTTTCAAAAAATTCGTTTCAAACTTTGCAAATCTCAGCACGTCTGCTATATAAGATTTGACGTAAAGATGGGATTTAGCTCCGTTTGAAAATTTTACGATGCCTGTCCCAAAAATTATAAGTCACACGCTTGGGATCATCATTTACGGTCTTCTCCTAAATTGAGAACAATAAAAAATAATATCCACATGTTCTCAAATTTTCAAATTCAAAATTTTCGTTTTTATTATACCCTCCAACATAGTATGGAGGGTATATTAAGTTTGTCATTCCGTTTGTAACACCTCGAAATATACATTTTACATCCCACAAAGTATATATATTCTTAATCAGCATAAAATTCTATGTCGATTCAACAATGTCCGTCCGTCTATCCGTCTGTGGAAATCACTCTAGCTTTCGAACGAAATGAAGCAAGTTAATAAAAATTTACTCAAATGTGTATTATGTCTGCAGGACTTTTGGTATTGAAAATGGGACATGTAGGTCCACATCTTCTTATAGCGCCCACATAACAGTACCTCCCGACATGCGGTATTTTGATGATTTTAGCGACATTATTTGCCGGAATTGTTTCAAATATGGTATTTGAAGTTTGTAATGGATACTACAGCCTACAGAATTTTTATGATTTTAGCTACATTATTCACCGAATATTTTATTCAAGTTACGCATTTGAATTTTTGTAATGGTCGTCGTCGTATAGAACCTAATATAACGGCTAAATTTGGTATTTTTAAGATTTTAATAACATTTTTAACGGATTTTATTTTTTTGAAAATTGCCAAAATCGTTTCAAATATTGGAGGGTATTCAAAGATCGGCCCGGCCGAACTTTTTATAATTAGGCATAGTAAAATCTTCCAAAAAGAGCTGCTTATTACCCAGAGCCAGACTTTGTGTGGCATTCAATCTTGCAATCTATGCAGAAGT